AAATAGGTGTGTCGATAGGACTGAATTCTTGCTGGATGTAAGCTGCAAGGACTAATAAGGTTACTGCCTCACAGCAGGGACAAAAAACCCCATTGCTGCAGAACGCAGCCTGGTGTTATCAGCTCAGTTAACTCCCGTTTGTGGAGTCAGAAACATTACTCAAGAGAACAGCTCTGGGCGGGGGGACAGGTGCCCTCAGGAGCCCAGGACTCTGGTTTGAGAAAGGACCCTGACAAGTGCAAGCTGGACCACAGCCCACTGCTGTTCCTTAGTTCCCTGGTCATGAGAAGGAACTTGAGCACTATTTTTTAATGTACACATATATCTGAATATACCCATGATAACAGTCCTGATAGGAATCTTTCTTTTTCAGTCCTAACAGAAATCACCAGACCCATTCCAAGCAGCTACTTGGAGAAGACCAGGCAGCATTATGCACTAATTTTCTTTTTTTTTTTTTTCTTGCTTGTTTTAGGGCAATTATGACATTATTTTACAAGGATTCTCTGATGATTCTGAGAATAATATGGTCATATGCTTGAATTTCACCATGATAGTAAAATAATACACTTCCTGAATGTGGCAAACATTTCAAATAATTCCAGAATATGGAGATCGCTTCTGCAAGCAACTGGAATCCAAGCTGCGAAACAATAAACATACTAACGTTTGTGAGGAAGAATACGCCACGTACTCTCTGGAAAGCTACACGATGGATAGTCTTATCCATTTATAGCACTGCTGTAATCAGATGCTCAGCCAATGTGCACAAAATCTCTGGGAATCAGGCATCCTGTTTAATCCACAGAATAACCCTAGCTGGATATCAGGCTGAGGACTGCATTTTGGTGCTGCAGTTTGGATTATGAAAGGGTTGAGTCCTTCAGGCTGTGCTGAACTAATACAACAAGTTTTAAGTGCAAGAATCAGAAGTTCTCCAGTACTCAAAATATAACAGCATTTGAATCTGGGAACCCTGTTGTTTTGGGTTTTTTTTTTTTTTGTTTCTTTTAACAATAAAACTTGTTTGTACAATCAATTTGGGAAATGTTTTTTATTCTCCTGTTATTTTCTGATTATCTTTAGAGGTTTCCTAAAGTTCTGCTCAGTTTGCACTGAGCTGAACCAGAGGAGTAATGGTACCAGCTGATGTGAGTAACACCCAAAGAGGAACATGTTTCCAGTTACACTGATCCAGTATAGCTGAATTTAGCCCTCCAGCGCTGTAACCACAAACCCTTAGCACGTTTTTAGCTCTTGCTCAGAGTCCAAGGGGCAGAGACTACATAAGCCGTTTCCTTCAGGAGGAGGAGGACAGTTATTGCCCAAAAAGTTGCTCTTTTTTTCAGTTACCAAAAGCATGTCTAAAGCTTCTGCCTCTTGGGCAGCCTGATGTTCAGTACCCGCCTTCCCTTTCTGCTGTGTCTCCACATCCAAGACCTTCAGTAAGATTTTGGTGGAGTGTAAGATTAGGTCCTTAGGAATAGAGCTGGCATCCTTTCAGGCTTCATGGCACTTTGGTGCCACTTTAGGGTGGAAGAGAGCTGACCAGTGTGGTGTACAAATGTTTTCTGCCTTCAGACAGATACCTGCCTTGATGTTAGGACACCATGTCATAGAATCATAGAATTGTTTAGGTTGGTAAAGACCTTTAAGATTGTCAAGTCCAACCGTTAACCTAACCCTGCCATTTCACCACTAAACCATGTATCTAAGCACATTGTCCACCCATCTTTTAAATACCTCCAGGGATGGGGACTCAAACACTTCCCTGGGCAGCCCATTCCAATGCTTGACAACCCTTCTGGTGAAAAAATTTTTCCTAATGTCCAATCTAAACCTGCCCTGGCACAAGTTGAGGCCATTTCCCCTTGTCCTATTGCCCATTACCTGGGAGAAGAGGCTGACCCCCACCTCGCTACAACCTCGTTTCAGGCAGTTGTAGAGGGCGATAAGGTCTTCCCTCAGCCTCCTTTTCTCCAGACTAAACAACCCCAGTTCCCTCAGCTGCTCCTCATCAGACTTGTGCTCCAGACCCCTCATCAGCTTCACTGCCCTTCTCTGGACACGCTCCAGCAACTCAGTGTCCTTCTTGTAGTGAGGGGCCCAAAACTGAACACAGTATTCCAGGTGCAGCCTCACCAGCACCGAGTACAGGGGCACGATCACTTCCCTACTCCTCCTGGCCACACTATTCCTGATACAAGCCAGGATGCCATTGGCCTTCTTGGCCACCTGGGCACATTACTGGCTCGTATTCAGCCAGCTGTCAACCACTACCCCCAGATCCTTTCCTGCTGGGCAACTTTCTCTTTTCAGCCCCCAGCCAGCAGTTGTTTAATGAGTTCAGACACTTTTCCCTAATGAACAGGCCAGTGTTGAAGGTGTGCATTGCACTGGCCGTGAGGTCATGCTGTGTCTAGCAGATTGCTGCCAAACACCTAAGAAAAAATGAAAAACCAGACCAAATCAACCCTCTTTCAGGCTGTGAAAATAAGCAGAAAGGAACCTTTTAATCTCACTTTACACACAAAGACATTTTTCATACTGGATACCAGAAAAAAGCCCTCAACAAAAAAACCACCTCCAAGTATAAAGACACCCCATTTAAAAATTGGTTTCAATATAGCTAGTTCAGCAATCTAAAGCAAAATCATCAAAAATCAATAAAAATACAAGAAGTAGAACTGCATTATGGTCGAGTTATGAAGCCATGATTCCATCCAAGTGGCAATGGCAAAGCATCTTTGCTGACGTTCCATCCACAGACCATCCCAGGGGCAGTCCAGGATGGAGTATTACAGCAGCACCAACTTACGCTGAACTAAGTTATTGGAGTTGCAATCGGTTTCCTCTTAATCTAAAATATCAATCAAAAAGCAGCCAGAGAAGCTGATAACCAATTCCCGCTTTTCTTCTTCTATTTTGCTCATTTCAAATAGTATTGCTGGTCTAGGGAACAGTCTTACTGTATGATGTCCCTGTGTTCCCATTCCACAGTGTCCAGCAACCACCAGGTGAAGCCTCAAAACAGTTTTTAGTGACAAAGTGCTCTGAGATTTTTGTTGCCCTGAATTATTCGGGGTGTTAGAAGAAAACTTTTGTTTATTAAGCAGCAAGAACCACAGGTAGGCGATCAAGGACATTCACATGCTCGACTTTTCATAAGCACGTTTTAGTGCCTGAGAGATGTTACAGAAAATTTACAATATATGTAAAGGTAGAAATAGAATTTCTGTATCTAAATAGGGACATTTACAGATAAATATATGTATTCAGTAGCTTGCATTGCAGACTTTTATAGTGCAGATCTTCAGCTGAAGGGTTATGATTACACATGCCAGCAGATAGGATTGCGAGGCAGAACGCAGGAGCCACAACTTTATAAAGCAAAGACCTTTCAAAGGCCTCAGGCTCTCTCCTGCGCATGACTGAAGGTTTCCCGCAGTTATTGCAGCGCCGGCGGCTGCTGCACCATGTTCCCCCATGGCCAAGAGGAGACAGGTTTTAGTAAGGTGTAAGATCAGGCAAAGAGCTTACCCTGAAATCTCTGTGGTAACCATAGGGTGAAGCGCACCGTAGAAGGCAGAGCTTTGCTCTGCGTGTCTTGTTCCTGGGACAGAGCTGTTACAAGGCTTTCCTTTCTTGTGCTGTTGTCCAGAGTTGACAACACTTATCATTTAACTTTTTTCCTTTCCAAACTTTCCTGAGCCCATACTCAGGGCTCTATGGCAAAGAGGAGTCTACTTAGGATGAGGTGAATTACTTGGACACAGTAAAGACTGATCTGAATGTTTCCTTTTTCTTCAATTTATTGGGTCAGTAAACTTTGATCCATTTTTTCACTTCTTCATTTCCTGGCTCTGTCCAGAGTTTGAATGCTGTGAATGCTGTGAAGTGAACCATTCACTAAGTATTTTTGCTTTAAATATTCAGTGAGACCTACACATCCTGAGATACCTGCATTTTGCCAGGAGTTCCAGTGAGCTGTGCAAAGCCCCCTCCCCTGCAAGCCAAAATAAATCAAGGAAGGCCTTGCGTGTGGCATACTTATCTGAAACGAGTATCTGAAGCCTTCACAAATATCTCTTTTTCTCTCCTTCATTACTGTTGTTTTTAAGCGGCTGTCAGGATTTGCTGCAGATGGGAAAATAGCTTTTCTTCACCCCCTCACCCTCTGTCGCCAAATATGTAATTATCAGAAGAAGCAGTTCCTGTAAAATGTGTTTTCCAATAAGAGCGCACACTTTTTGAGCTGTGTTATTACAGTTACATTTGATAAAAACAGTACAGCATGCATAATTTCAAATGAGAGAAGCCCTGCTGACCACAATAACATATACATTTGCTGGATGAAACTGTAACATCATTTGAGATAGACACACAAGGAAAAATCCACATAATTCAGGTATTACGAAGGCATATCTTGTTTCCAGTGGCATACTGGAAGGCTTAAGCAACCCCTCAGTCACCAGTTAGCTTAGCTGGTAAAAAGCATGAATACTCAATACTAAAGGAATAAACTACATGGTGCCTGCAGCAAGAAGGAGTTGGACTTGGTGGTGCTGGAGATGCATCCTGATCTGTGTTACAGGCATTGAAAGAGAAACACAGCAGCGTTAAACCCTTTCATGCATTTTTTTTTTTTTTTTCTC